TGGTAGAACCCAGAAGCTGCTTTTCATACTAGTGACAAACAATAACAGTAACAACAGCTTTTTGACAAAATGCTTTAAAATAAATCACAAAAATTAATTTAATAAAGTGCAAATTAAAATAAAGCCGTATCTGCAACTGTATTTGATAATGTTTTGAACTTTTAAAATATTGCATGGTTGAACCAGAGGCTGCACTTCATATTAGTGACAAACAATAACAGTAACAACAGCTTTTTGACAAGTTTAAAGTTTCTTTAAAATACATTAAAATAAAAAAATAAACTACAAAAATAATTTGATGAAGTGCAAATTAAAATATAGCAGGATCTGCAACTGTATTTGATAATGTTTTGAACTTTTAAAATATTGCATGGTAGAACCAGAGGCTGCACTTCATATTAGTGACAAACTTTGGCCTTTTTTGACGGGTTGCCTTCATTTTTGTCTTCTACTTTTCATTTAAAATAGGTTTCCATTTTCGGCAGGTTTCTAAGGTTCTTCTTCTACATATTAAAAAAGTTGTGAAACATCTGAGTGGTGCACTATCGCTACTAGTGGTGACAAACTGTATTGCATCTTATTCAAAATCAAAATGGTCCCACGGCCCTCTGCGGCCCGAAGTTAAAACTATTGTTCTTTTGAGGCCCTCAAGGTGGCGCTCGCGGCGCCCATAGGTTAAGAATCTCGGCATCAAATCACGTAAACGCCAATCAAATAAATATCGTATGTATACGGCACCCAAGGAAAATCTTTGGTAGATGTTCACAAAGTATCCATTTTTGTAAGAGATTATTCACGATGTTTTTCAGGGCTTCACAACATCCTGGACATCGCCGCGGAGCACGGCCTGCGGCTCTTTGTTCCCAGCACCATTGGTGCTTTCGGTCCTTCTTCCCCCCGAAACCCCACTCCGGACCTGTGTGTGCAGAGACCTCGCACCATCTACGGGGTTTCCAAAGTTCACGCTGAGCTGATGGGCGAGGTGAGAGCATGGCTTCAACTTTAGCTCCTTTTAGTTCTTTGTAGCAATAAATTGTTCCTGTTTTCTTATAAAAGTTGAAATACACAAAATGGTTTCTAACAGGTATTACTGATAAGGAGTCCCAAACATTTTTATACTTTTATTTAATGGGTCTATTCTTTTCTATCCAGTATTATCACCACCGTTATGGGCTGGACTTTCGCTGCCTTCGCTACCCAGGAATCATCTCAGCTGATTCGATGCCAGGAGGTGGTACAACAGGTAAAAGATGAAGCTAAACTTATTCAGATAACATCTATGAAAGGTCATTAAGGTCCAATTTTATATTTGTTTTTGGTAAAAATCTGTCTGGATGCAATAATAATTAGAAGCTCCTATATTCCTCTTTTTTTTACATCAACCTTTTTGATCACCTTGTTTGTTTATCAGACGTTTGCCATGTTTAATGAGAAACTGGTGACCGTACTAGCAAATAATCCCTAGGTGGGCAACATACAGAGCCTCACGTTGTCCCCGTCTGCTCTATTAAAATGACTGCATTCGATATTTACTTCTGCTGTTTGGAAAGTAATATGTTACAAGATACCATTGGATTGAATTTTGGTCACAAGGTGTTCCATAAAAGCACCAGAGGGTGTGATTCAGGCAAGGCACCAAGATGCTGAGTTGTCATTAGCTAAAGAGAAACGCAGTACACGTGACTGAAGTGTAAGCTGTGACATAACTGTGTCTCAAGTAAAACATAAATAAATAAAATAAAATGAATGCATGAGGATATTAAAATTTGAAAATCAATGTTGATAATTATGTTTATGTTGTGAGTTGTTATGGAAGATAACTTAATATGTAAACGATGTGTTCATCAACTAAATGTAGCTATAAGTGACAGCAATCCTATAAAAATCTAAGGTGAAAGTCAACCAAATAACTTTATTTGTAAATAATTGCACATGGTATAAAATCCCTCACTGCCTGTAATTATTGAGGTCAAACTAAAGAAAACCAACTAACTCTATAACAAAAATAATATATTTTCAAACTAAAATCACTTATAGTCGCTGTTTAATTTTGATTTCTCGTTGCAGAAAGGTAATCTTAATTAAACAGCTTAAATTGATAAGTACAGAAAATAATACAAAATAAAAGTAATTAAAGGAACATCAGGAAAGGTATTTAGGACAGTACGTCATTAAAAACCTTGGCAGGTAGTGAATTGGGAGATGAATTATGAGACCAACTGCTTTGACGGGTTTCACTTTTAATGGGCATCTATTCCTGTATGTTTCCTATCAGGTTGCAGGTTTGTAATCCAACTGACGTATTACAGAAGTTAGATGTTGATTTTTTTTTTATTTCTTGTAGAGTACTATGCTGAAAAACAAAGTTTTGGTCCATGTCAAAATGTCAAATTTTGTTAGCGATTCAAAAAATGATTAAGCATATTTTAAAGTATATTTATTAAAGTTTTTGTTTGAGGTTTTATGTCAGACGTGGTGTAACGCAGAGGCTGTTTTTTCTTCTGCCAGACTATGCCGTCCAGATTTTCCACGACGCAATCAAGAAGGCAAAGTTCGAGTGCAACCTGAGACCGGACTCGCGGCTACCCATGATGTACATCGACGACTGTCTGCGCGCCACGCTGGAGGTGATGGAGGCTCCAGCTGACGCGCTGAGCATGAGGACGTACAACATCAACGCCATGAGCTTCACGCCCGAGGAACTGGCCCAGGAGCTCCAGAAGCAGATGCCAGAGCTGGAGGTCACGTACGACATCGACCCAGTGCGACAGGCGATTGGTGAGCCTTCCCTCGTTTTTGAGTTGCGATTTTCAACGCTTCCTCTTTTGTCGCTGTACTGTAAAAGCAGCATACGTTGCGGTTGTTAAATTCTGTTTTTTTTTTTTTTGTCCTTTTAGCTGACAGCTGGCCGATGAATTTCGATGACTCCAATGCACGGAAGGACTGGGGCTGGAAACACGATTACGATCTCCCAGAGCTGGTTCAGACGATGCTTAACTACTTTGGCGTGGAAACTCGCATGGCCAGCGCTAACTGAGCTGCCACAATGCTATGTATTTATGTTCTTTGTACATAATGTGAAGATTGACCAAAGAGAGTAGAGAAACACGGCCTGTATATAGTAGTTCTCTCGATTCTCTAAGCAAAAAATCCGAAAAGGCCCTGCTCGCCTGTGACTTAGCCACCTCGTCAACAGAGCGTAAAGCTCAGTGCGGGCAAGACAATCCTCCTTGATCTTTTACATCCACACCTGCTTTGCTCGCTCTTCCTTGTTCTGATTAGACATTAAAAGCTGTCTCTCAGCGGAAGGGTCTTGCCAGCGTCAGGGTCAACAACTTGGCCTTTATGCAAACCTCTCAAGAAGACTAAAAGGATGACTCGTGTGTTGAGGGGAATGCACAAAATTTCACAACTTCTCTTTCTGGAAATCAAGAAAACAGAAAACGGGGGCAGAGGGATTTTCTTTGTGCATTTCTACACAGTATTTTCCAATGTGCATAAGGGCTAGATTTTTAACGATTGTCTAAATCTAAGGGATTAAGGCTTGAAGCTCTTAGGGCTAAAATCAACAAAGAGGTGCATCCATTTGTTACTCCTTGTTGGAAAAAAAAGAGCAAATAAGCCAAAACGTGCAGGGATGATTGATGCAGTGCAGCTCTAAAACTCCTTTTGAACTATTTCTATTTTTTCTTCATTTATTATTTATTCTGTCCCTGTTAAATGGAAAGCTTTGTTGCCTAAAAGCATTTAATGCTCTCGTTTCTTTTTGCTTCTGTTATTTAATGTTTTTCACCAGCTTTCATACTATTTTGTCACAACAGGGAAATGTGACTGCGAATGTCACTTCAACACTTATCTCTACATTTGGTGATTTCTGTTAAAGAAATTATTTTGTGTGAGAATGATTGTTTTTTTTCAATCACAAAACCTGCTTTGACAATAAACTTTTTTCCATATACTTCTTTGTTATATTTAATCTTTCAGCATTCATTCACTTTTTGAACATAAACAGTTTAGTTTTTTAAATAATTTTTATTATTACATTAAAAAGCATAAATGGTGTTGCTTGAACAAGTCATCAGATTCATAATAAAAACCAAGAATTTTCAGTGTTATAAATAGAAAAGGACAAGAAGCTCGAAAAACCAGTTACGTATTTTAACAGTAGCATCTGCATAAAATGAGAAGCGATTCTTTGTTCAACCTGAAGAATCAGTAAAAAATCACCTTTACAAATGACATGAGCTAAGGGTTTTTTAGAGAACCAATAAAGAAAAAGGGGAAGAAGAAAAATGTCAGCATGACGGCCCAGTGATGCCCCATGACAAGAAAGTCCTGGGTTCTTTCTGTGCAGAGTTTGCATCATGTTCTCATGCTTTTGTGGGGTTTCTCTGGTTACTTTAGTTTCCTGTTACAAATATGCCTGTTAGGTCCAGGCCTCCCAATTGCAAAAGAGATCTATGATCATTTTCACAAGGGAGGTCTGGTTATGTAAAGGTTAAAACATAGAAAGTTGTGTAGAAGTGATAGGAGGCTCCACCCAGGCAAACATGGGCTGACAGATGAAATTTGGCAATAATAACCCCACTTGGATGAGTTTTTACTAGGTTTGCTCAGTTATTCATCTCAAATGGGAGACAGTACGGTGGTTTTAGTCATTTGAGCCATGAATGACTGAGATGCTCCTTATTTTATATTTTAGTTTGTTTTTTAAACCATTTCTGGACAAGCTCAGACAGAATCTAAGCGGTTTCACTTCAATGGTTCTTTTAGATTCACTGTAGAGGACAGCACTACAGTGGAATTATCCTGATGCATCTCAGTAATCCAGGTAAAAAATCAAAAAGAAAAAAATTGTATAGGTCCTCTGGACGGGTTCTTCTCTAATGAAACGTTTCGTCTCTCCTCCAAGAGACTCCTTCAGTCTGAGAGTTTCAGGCAAAATTCAGGCTTTTAAGCACTGCCTCCATGTGACTGATACTCACATCACATGGCTATCRTTSACACCTAATTAACACYTATTGTTAACAGGGGGTGGAGTGATACTGSCAATVGCMGCRCTGTAGGAGGRGGACAAYTGAAAACGGAGGCCTCCACCTCTGTTTAATGACGGACGGTCTTTCTTCACAAAAATGGCTTCTTTTACTCCTCTCTCAAACCAACGTTCCTCTCTATCAAGAAAGAGAACATCCTCATCTCTGAAAGAGTGACCGCTGGCCTCTTTTAGACCACTGCACTTTTTAGACACAGCACTTTGTCAGTTGATAATTGTTTTAGTTTACTTTTTTTGCTAACCCTTTTACAGCAGTCCGCCTCCAACCTCTTTACTAAATAGAAATTACAGTATTTACTCTGAACCATTAAAAGCTCATGAAGTTGGAACAGATGGTGACAAAAAAAAATTTTTCACAATGGAATTACACTTTGTGGCCCAAGGGCACAAATTTGTCATAGAAATTTTGTCTAAACTATAATTACCTTGTTTGGCTCTAGGCTGATCTTTCTGGAACTTTGCACCCTTTTGTAACTATTATTTAAAAACTGACATCCACTGGCAGAATGAATACAGTCGTGTTTAAAATTATCGGGGAATCCTGAAACAAAGCAACTTTGATACAAAGGTGAGAAATGACATACCCTCTTTCCTACTCTTTTTAGCCGTTAGAGAATAAGTGCCTGCACTGGAAACCCAGCAACTTTTTTTTCCCTGTGAAATCTGGTGGTATCACATGCCTGCAGTGTCTTTCACAGACAAAACATTGCGCAGTGAAACAATAAAACCCTGCCGACAGCGGTGTCCTTGACCACGTGCTTGATGTAATTTTTTTAAGTTTATCTGCGTCAGTGATTGCTGCAGTTCCAGGTGACCTTGTTCTTGTTTTTAGTATAAAACTTCAAAAAAAGGAGACAAAATATAGCTCCACATAAACTCTTATGAGCACTTTGTCTGAATGCATAAAATAACTTGTAAAGTCACACTATATTCCTTTGATGTACAAGTCTAAATAAAGTTTATAAAACGTAACTGATGTATTGTTTTACATTCTGATAGTGATGTAATTTTGCTCTAATTTGATAGGTTTTAAATATAAAAAATAACTTTCAGTAGGAATAATGCATTTTATGAAGGATTAACTATAACTTACAATGCAATGTGCTGGTTGGCTCGTGCTTGCATGAAAATAAAAAAGGGACAAAGAGTTTACAACAAAATGAATGCATATGTGTGTAGGCAAGTACTCCACACACACAAACACACACACACTGCTCCTACTTTCTCCAGTCTGCATCAAATGCAATTTAATCACACCTTTACATCTTTCCTTTTCTGGCTGCCAATACATGTGACCTGACTTGTTTGTTTTACATTCAAATCTTTCTGAGAAAAGAGGTGCATTCTGGGAAGAATATCCAATGAGTCCCTCACGTTTAACTTGAAGTTGCTGTAAGTGAAACCCAGCCGCTTATGTAACGTGTCTCAGTGGAATGCACACATGCTTGAGGTCGAGCCTCCCACGGGCCGATCACAGCACCTCCTCTGTTGCCTGGGCTCAAGTGTTTTTGTCTGTCGTTGTTTAAGAAGATTCCCACAGAGCGCAGCAGATTATGTTTGCCTTGGACACACACACACACACACACACACACACACACACACACACACACACACACNCACACACACACACACACACACACACACACACACACACACACACACACACACACACACACACACTGTGCCACTGCTGTTACTCACATGGGGTCTTGTTGCTATAGGAATTTCACCAATCTACCACATGTATCCATAACCCACCATTTACCCCAAAGACCAAAACTCCAGGAGCGTTACTAGAAAGTAAAATACAGTATTACAGTTTCAGGCTGTTGAGTCATTCAGTAAACGTATGTGACTCTTCTTTTCCTGATTGAAGCCCCTGTTGCATAACTTCAAACGTGTGTGTGTGTGTGTACTTGTTTTTGTTACCTATTTAGGACCGTTTCCAGTATACGCACCTACCTTGTCAAGACCAGTAGTCCTAATGGGGACCAAAGACCGGTCCTAATCTGGTGGAACTCCATTTTTGGGTTGGGGGTTGGGCTTAGGACCAAGGTATGAATTGAGTTTAGGTTAGTTTTAGGGTCAGGTAGGAACCTGTGAGGTTAGCCTTAGGGTTTGTGATTAGGGTTAGGCTGTAGGAATTACTGGAAATGAATGGAAGTCAATGAATGGTCCTAATAAGGACAGAAATACAAACCTGTGTGTGTATGTGTGTGTGTGGCCTTGTTTTTCCTACATTGTGGGGCCTGGTTTTAAGGAAAACAGCCTCATGGGGACCGGGTGCTCCTTGTGGGACCCAAAGCCTGGGCCGCACAACTTGAGGCTGATTTTGGGTGTGGGGGTTGCGTTTAGGACCAAGGTGTGAATTGAGTTTAGGTTAGTTTTAGGGTCAGGTAGGAACCTGTGAGGTTAGCCTTAGGGTTTGTGGTCAGGGTTTGGATATAACATTACCAAAAAATGAATGGAAGTCAATGGACGGCCCCCGCAGGGATATAAAAACAAGTTTGTGTGTGTGTGTGTGTGTGTGTACATGTTTTTCCTACAAAGTGGGGTATTTTTTACAAAAAAAGCAGCCAGGTGGGGACCGAAGTGAATCGTGGGGACCTGACATTGGTCCCCACGGGTCCAAATGTATGTTACAGGTGTGGGGTTAGGTTTAGGACCAAGGTTTAGGTTAGTTTTAGGGTCAGGTAAGTTTCTGTGAGGTTAATTTTAGAGTATATGGTCAGGGTTAGGCTATAAAGTCTAAAAAACATGAATGGAAGTCAATGGAAGGTCCCCACGGGGTCGAGAAACAAACGTGTGTGTGTGTGTGTGTGTGTTTCTTTTTAAAGATAATTACGTTTTTTGGTGCTTCTTTTGTCTGTTTTCAAATCAAATTTATCTGGACACAAATTAAGTACTTGAAAAAATCTTGTTGAATTAGAAAATACTGAGCTTGACAATTTACGTTTTAGAAAATTTAAGAAAGAAACTGTGATACTTTGAGTACAAGAGCCTTTCAAAATTCTAAATAAAGCCTCAATAAAAATAATAAATGAATGAATGAATGAATGAATGAATGAATGAATGAATGAATGAATGAATGAATGAATGAATGAATGAATGAATGAATGAATGAACGAATGAATGAATGAATAAATAAAGCAAGCCTCAATGACTAAAACACACACAACTCTTCTTCAAAGGGAACTAACCAAACCCCTCAAAACTATCTGGTGTGTTAAGATAACAGCATTAACTGACGCAGGTCTCTGTCCAGGCCTCTTTCACACAGTCTTGCCCTAATCCCATGAGGAAAGTTTAGGTGCAGCTTTGGGGTTAAGTTTCACATAAACTAGCTTAGACCAATCTGAACGTGATATTTGTTTTAATGAAAGTAAAAGAGACATTTTGCCTTTACACTAGACAAAACAACTGACCGAACTAAACATGTCAAAGGAATGTAAATGTCATTGAAAAATGTTCCCACAGATAAAGCCACACACACGACCGCATGTTCAATGAAAATCTGTGTAAAAAAACATGATCAGGTTACACAGGAAAACAGGTTACACAGGAAAACATGAATATTTCAGTGTTTGCATTTCTCTGATCAAATTCACATCCTGCAACCAAAGAATACCACCTCCATTCCTGGGTGCATGAACAAATTCAATGTCCAGCCAGTTTGTTAAGCCGGCGCGCCCCCTAATGGAGAAAAACGTTGTTGCGATACTGGCTAGTAAAATGCTTTCTAAATATTATTTCGACTAAAAAAGGTTGCATAAACACATAATTTCTTTATTGTTTTTGAAAATGGTATATTTAAATATATTTTACAAGGGTATATTTGCATTTATTGTCCATGTTGTAGTCACATATTAATATTAGTAACGCTTAAAAAATTAAAATGAATTAAGAAAAGAAAAGAAAAGAAAAGAAAAGAAAAGAAAAGAAAAGAAAAGAAAAAAAAGAAAAGAAAAATTGCATTCAGGCATTATCTAGGACCGCCTCTGGACTTGCGTTCATGCAATCTGCTTAAGGACCCCAGGATGTCCATGCTAGCTGAACGTATGTAGATTTTCTCACAAATATGACAAATATTTAGTTTTTATCTATGATTACATTGACTTTTTATTAATTTTGTTGTAGCCAAAACTGAACAATACTCCCAGTGTAAATTTATAATCCGATATTATTCTTGTTTTACTTTTTAAAGCGGAACGCCGGTAGCTAGCATTAGCTTGTGTGCTCCGAGATTTAAACACGTGTCTGCTAACATTCTTTTTGCATCAAAACTACATTGTATTGCTCTCAGTCTGTGTGCAGTTAAAGCATTGTTCTTAACGGGGAGGTTGAATTGCAGTGTCAATTTATTATAAGCATTTATCTTCACTTTGTTGTCGGGTACTTTATGCCTCGTTGACACCTACAGATTTTGTTGTTACGTAAGTGGTCTGCTGCTTCGTTTACGTTTCATTTGCTATTTTTTAGTTTCATTTCATATAATATACATGCTACAATTTTCTTGAGTTAATTACTTTGGCTGGTATCCTTTGAGTTGCACTCTTACACGGGCATTATTTTACATCCTCTTGCATTATCATCTTAATTGTGGATTTAGATGCTTGTCCTTGTCAATTGTCTAATGTTGGCAGACTGTTATATGATTGTGTGTTGCTCTGCTAACAGCCCGCAGGAAACGGAAGTGGTCTGTTGACCCCAGGAACAGCACTTGGAGCAAGGATGACTCCAAATTTGGCCAGAAGATGCTGGAGCGAATGGGCTGGTCCAAGGGCAAAGTGAGTCAGACTTTGCTAACATGGTTTTCATTGTATATAAAATCAGGCCCACATATGTTTGGATGCTGCTGCACCTTTCTTGATAAAATGGACAATTGAAAATGTAAACAAGTGTGTCTTTACTTCTTTAATTCAAAGCTCATAGTATTTGAAAGTCCTTGCAACTGTTTTCTTTCATAACTACCTAATCAACATACAGAGGCAGCAGGGTAACTCATTGTTAAAACAAAAGATTTGGAAGCACATGTCAGTAAATATTTTTATTGTATCTCCAGGGACTTGGGAGGAGTGAACAAGGCTCAACAGACCACATCAAAGTAAGAATCAAGAACGATAACTACGGGCTTGGGGCCAATGCCAGTCATGAGGTGAGTGCAGTTAAGAGACACGAGTTTATTTTAGAATCAAAATTAGCCTTTAGTCATTTATTCTGAACTAACCAATTTGGTAGTTTTGCTGATTTTACATTTTCCTTTTGCATACCACAGGATACATTTACATATTTCTCTAAAAATGCACAAAATGACAAAGTTGTCAGAAAGGTGTTTTTTTCCCCCCTCCTAGCTTTGCTTTGCTGAGATCTATGATTTTTGCAGGATAAATGGATTGCTCATCAAGATGATTTCAATGAGCTGCTTGCTGAACTTAACAACCACCATGGTCAAACCAATGGTATGTACTCAAAGCATGTCCAAGATATTTAACAAGAGTCTGAATTAATTTGTTACTCTACGTGTGGCAGATTACAAAGGGCATGTTACACAGATTTGTAGCCATTCTGATTTCAAAACACATTTTCTGTTTATATTTTCTTGTTTCAATGTGCTTATGTAGATCAAGTCTGTTGGTTGTCTTTTTGGACAGCAGAGGGCGCTTTGGTTCAACATTTTGTAAAGAACAAACCAAATATTGTAGAACAGAATGAAAGTGTTAATCATTATTACCATGTCAGACATCAAAGGACATGTAAAATTCCTGATAAAACACTTGATATATGCACTGTTTTAGTTCAAAGAACACATCTTTAGATATTTGTGCACTTTCTTTTTCCAGCTGTAGAAGCTCCGTCAGATGAGAAGAAAGGTTTCAGCTTGGAGGAGAAATCCAAAACGTCCAAAAAGAGGGTCCATTACATGAAATTCACTAAAGGTGGGTGCAGTTTTTGGCATCCTGGTTGGAGATAATGGTTTAAAACTATCAAATTTTTTGTACCATGATCTATCTTTCTACTACATCCATAAATACTTAGATTGACTCTTTTATTCATCAATAAGTAAAATACACAATTCTGAAGAGATTTTAAATTAATATCTAAACTTTAATAAGCATTTCTCTCTAACGGCTACTTGATGTGACGTGTTTAACTTAGAAGTTTTCTGCATGTGTACACCTACGGCTTGGACTGGTACAGAGTTCTTGACCTTTTATTGAGACTTGTGCTCTCGTCTCACACCACAGACCCTGATCAGAGTTCTGTCTTACTGTGTCGGGTCAGTTGACCCGGTGAGTGTTCGGTTGAAGTTATTTATATCTCTCTACTCTTTTCATTACCCTTTACATGTCAGGAAGTTAAGATTTGCTGGTCAAGGCCAGTACACTGATATGTTCAAGGAGGAATTTGGTGTTCAGGACCACTGGAGGCTAACGTAAAAAAAACAAAAAAAACAACATAGTTTATTGCTGAGTTGTGTGATACTTGCAGCATAGTTTCATGATTAAATAGTTTTTAATGAAACTGGCATTCATCAGAGGTTTTATTATCTATTGGACCTGCGAACGTCTGTTTTAGTAGTTTACCATTTCTGGATTTGTGGGTCAATGAGTTCAAATCTACCTCATCTGCTCATCGCTCTGGACAAAACAAATATCTCAACTTTTGCCTCACCTGGAAGAACCTTCAGTATTTTACGTCATTCAATAGCAACTTCCTGTTTCCTGTTTAGGGCATCTGGTATCTCCATTTACCGCAAACAGCAGCTCCTCTGAACTATTAGATGACCTTGTCAGATAAGACACGGCTTCAGCTTCTCCTCCAGACCCTCTTAAAACATTTTTTTTGTTGTCTTAATTTGAAAGGAGCTAGAAAATGACGATTCTCTGGATTCATTTCTTCTAACAACATAGAAGACTTTAGGCAAGAGCATTAAGAGTTTGATAAAGATGCTTTTCTTCTTGCTTTAATCTAGATCCTTAATATTCTGGACTTACTATATAATGAATACATTTTTGGTGGCATACATTTATTTATACTGGACGAGTTGTCCACAACCAGAACCATCAGCACTTTATTCTCTGTTCATTTATTCCAGTTACATCAATGAGCGAATGTGTTTAATAAATACATACATGCAGGTGCAGGTCACCAGTCTTCATATTTTAACGTATTTGAATTAACGATTAGCTGAGATCATTGGAAAATGTTATTCCAGCCACTTTGAAGACTTTGACAAATATTATATGGTTGTAGGGGTGCAGCTAACGATTATTTTAGTAATCGATTAATCTATCGATTATTCTGTCGATTAATTGATTAATCTGTATTTAAAAAATTGTCATCTTCTGCAGTCCTTATTTAAGCTTATTTTATGACAAATACCATTATGAGGGGTTAATCTACATTTGCTGATGATCCTGCTGCAATCACTGTAAAATTACAATGCCAGTTGTATTTAATTCATACATTTTAAGCTCCACTTGTTTGTAGTTATGTGTTTGAGGAGGCATTACTTAAAAGCACTCAATCATTTTTAACCACTGAAAAAGTTAAATTATGGTAATTAATTTTTATGGATTGGAAATCCGAATGTGATCTTTTATGTTAGAAATTTAGTAAGTAAAATGGATAATATAAAAATTTGGGTGTTGCACATTGAGTTTTGTAGAGTTAATGTTATTTTTAATAATAAAAGTAAGTTCATATTTTTATTATTAAGTTCCCATTTTATGCAATAAAATATTTAGTCTTGACTGGTTAGCTATAGACTAATATGTAAGCAGCAATAAATGAAGGCAAATGACTGGTTTCAAGGTCATAAAAAGCAGCAGCAAAAAAAAAACAAATCCTGCTATTTTCTATAAATACATTTAAACTTGAAATATTCACTCCAGGTATGTCATTTAAGTTAAGATAGAAGCATCAACAGATAAATGTGTTTCAGCTCATGCTTTCAATCTGTTGCTGCACACTTAAGGGTTGTTTTGATCACAGAACTTTCACACTGTTAATTAATGCTCTGCCATGCAGCCACTATGATTAGTCAGAAAGGGAACATGAACGATACCTGTTGTTAACTCCGGACACGTTCCGTACATGCATCAGCTGTTTTCATTCCGGTTCAGTTGCGTTGCAGTTGTGCAAAACTGAGTGAATAAAGTTATTCGTGGGAGTTTGGTGACTTTGATCTGAATCTCAGCACACAGATTGTTTATCAAAAAGTTGTATTTGGTTTCACACTGTTAAATGCCAGTAATCTTCAGTTTTAAAGAATTTGCATTCCTGAACCATGACAGGTCCAGAACATTTGACAGATTAGGTGGCAGGTTGCATGTTTTGAGTCCTTAGCTGAACTTTTTTTTAGACTTTTTCGTCATTGCTGTTGACTTTTGACTGAATATAAATGTAAACCTTTGAAATTGCTGCACTCTTTGATGGAAGTCTTTAATTGCAGTTAGCATTTCTGGGGCCTCTATTAAAACTTTTCTGAAAAGTTTGAACTTGGTAGTCTGTGCTTTTCATCAGTGGGCATTCGTATTGACTTTGCTTGTTTGAAGAGAAAGCACCGTACACCAAAGTCTGTAGTTGTGCGCTAACTAGGCCTGTCACGATAAGCAATAAATCAATTAATTGCATGCTAAATTAAATACCAGCTTGCATGTTTTCTTTGTGTCTTCCTCTTTTCCCCTCCTTGGCGAGGAGTGAATTCTCGCGTCAGGTTTTTGCCAGGTGCATGGTTTCTAACCTCTGTAATGAAAACCATGTTAGACAAAGCTGTACTACAATGTAATGTCCTAGTTTCTTTATATATTAAAATGTCAGATAAAAAAACAACGCAAATGGAACATTATAAGCTGCTGTTCCTTTTGTTCAACTAACTTGTCATTTAAATTGGAATTATGAAAGTACAGTTTTCAGGGTGCTTTAAGTCATTTTTATTATCTTCAGTAGCAGTGTTCTTTGGATGTGAAAGCATGTTGAGTTGTCTACATGGTAAAAATATTTGGGGCCGTCTTAAAGCAGTAGGCCACAACTACAGGATGTCTTGTACCTTTTAATTTTTGTTATTTGTCTCCTCCCATTGAGACTCTGTGCCACAATATGTTCTGTTTGTGATCATAAATTGCCACAAGACACCACAGGGTTACGTGGCAACTTATAATCTGCCACGCCTCTTTGCATGCTTCCACTGACTTCTCTGATGCTGACTCCCTTTTCTGTGAGGTTGTTGCCAAGTAAAGGCTTGGTAATAGATTTACTGCCGGTAAGCTTATTATAAGAGAGGCTGGAAAGGTCAGGTAATACTCTCATATAGTTCTCCCAACAACCGACTGTGAGGCGGAAAGGTCAGCCCTTTTTGGGCTGAATCTGTTGAGTAAAATACCTGAAATCATTTAGCTTCAAGTTTATATTACAATAAAATGTTGTGGCCAAAGTAGCATCGAAAGCTTTCCAAATGTGCGTTGCTCCGTCTTACCCTGGCCTCCTCCTCAGTGCCCTGCTTTTTTTATTGATATCTCGTTTATGCTGGCTCCCTTTTTTAGTCAGCATGGAGGATTGATGGTCTTTGTTTGTGGGGAAAGGCACAGAAATCTCCACTGCTTAGGTCCAGGTTCCAAAGCATAAACCAGTAACCCAGTTTTAATTGCTGCCTCCATCTATCAAGTGTCAGGCCAGCCAGGGTGGTAGATGCAGAATTTAACTGCGGATCTCCAGCCAATGCTGTGTGTGGTGGTTTTATTGTAGCTTTGGGCTTATTTATTAATTGGATTTTATCTAAACAACAGGTTTAGACAGAACCAAACTAATCACAATAATTGCAGCGTATTTACAAGCTGAAAAGCTGTACTTTTTTGTTTTTCATAAAAGCCACCTACATACAGCTTTCACGTTTTTTGGCATCATTATGCGACACCATCTGCAATTAAATCTGTGCCATTTGTACATTTGTCAGTTAGTTTGAATGCCCTGTAAGTCTGGTTTGACTGGTTAGCTGTGCTTATAATTCCTGCCTTTCAAAATCACAACCGTCAACTGCATATTTCTATCCTATGCTAACAAGTTTCATGCTTTTTAATGGTATTTTTCCACCTTTTAGGAGCCTGTGAGAAAATTAGGTTTAAGCTTCTTTTTATCAGAACTTTTATTTGCACTTTCACCTTTCAGCAGAAAAAAACGTGGATGCATGCTTCCTTCTCCAAACATTAGAAATGTCAGCTCTGGCATAATTTTATGTCTGACCTAAGTTCAGTAGATGACAAACAACACTGGGCCCCCTCCTCGTTTGTTTTAGTTTACAACATACTTTCTTGGTGTTCCCTCTTAAACCTGCATCCACAGTGACTTTCAAAGTCAAGAGCAGAGGAGATAGAGGCTTAAAAGCAATAAATAACCAAATGTTATCAGAGTCCCGCTGAAGGAAGAGGATGCAGCTGTATGAACAGGACCCGGGCTTGAGACGGACCACTGCGTGCTTCAGGAGTCTTTGAGGCCCGACTTAAAAATGGGACTATGTAGACATGCTGTCAGTTTATTTTTCTTAGCTGTTTTATCCTTCAAGCTATAAAGTAAACCATGCAGACCTCTGCTCTGTTTACCCATTGACCACATTTCACAAAAACACCCACATAGATGTACAAATTTCACTTTGAATTGATTGCTACCTGTTACATAAATTGGCAAACACTACAAAGTTTGGGTAGTGCTGAGTTAACAGATCTCATTGTTTAAATTACCTTAAGTTACATGAGGCAAAGTAACAGAACCCAAAACAGAGTTTCACATATTTATTGTGTTTATTGCTTTCAGGAAAGGACCTATCCTCTCGCAGTGAAACTGACCTCAACTGTATCTTCGGGAAGAGGGCGAAATCTGCCAACGACCAAGAGCTGGTGAGAACCTTTGTTTTATGAACCATGTTGCTGTAATCTATTTTTATCATCGAAATGGAACAAGCCAACCTCCTATCTTTCTTAACTTAGTCATAGTTGGGCCTTGAGAGGAGTTGATATTCCACTGGCCAGGTGGCTTGAGCTTATTTGTCTCTGTAATTGCAAGTGACCATCGGTACTGATGGCCTTAACAGACTCTCTGGTATTACGCGATCCTTGTGCTACTGCAGGGCCCGGTTCCCAAGCAGCCTCTGGCTGTAGATTATCCATGTCGGCGTGTACAGCTTTAACAGTGCCAAAAGGCCACTGATGGTGGCAAGAACCTTTTAAATCCAGTTAAGGGATTTTCATTCTTACTGCTTCCTACTCTCCTTCACACTTCCCCTATTTTTTTTCCTTCTGCTTCTGACTCCAAGCGTCACATCAGTGGGTTAAGTCTGCCAGAAGGAATTATTAAAGGAAAGTCAAAATTGTGAGGTTTTCTGAAATCCTAGGTGATGACACTTGCATAAAAGTTTATTTTGCTTGTGGCAACAGTATTTGGCCACTTCAGATGTCACTTTGGCACTTGATGACATGATAGGTTTCATGCTTTTAAAAGGTAACTCAAAAGCAAAGACACTTTTTTTGCCTGGAATTGGCATTTTGCTCACCTTGAAAACATTTTTGTGAAATTAACCTGCCTTTGGATGCAGGTCATGAGTTCATATTAATGGAAATAAAATATTAAGTCATCTACTAATTATGATGTCTTTGATGCTTCTGAAAAATTCACAGGTGCTGCAAGTGTCGCATCACCTGTATTGTTCAAATAGATAAAAAGCTAATTCAATGTAACATTTAGCCCATATTGACCCTTTTATACCTGACGTCACGCTTGTGAGAAAGCAGTCCACTTCACCATTACTGTTGTCAAAACAACCTATGCGTAAACTCCTGTACAGCTAGTCAAAAAACAGATGGTTGGTAGCCTAACATCCCTTTTATTTAGTTGATTTACCTGTAAAAATGGTCATAGGGTACATACATGTCGACCCCTTTGGGCTTTTACCTGTATCTTATACCTCGGAAAATCCGTAATTTTCACACAAAAAAAAAATCATGGGATACGGGGGGAACAGGACTTAATTCTAGCAGCATAGCAGGTTGGGAGATGGTTACTTAACTTTGTTTTTAATGTCCTACAGGCTCTGAGAGGTAAAATAGATTTGAAGCTGAGTTATTGAAAAAAATCAGTCAAATCTTTGTATATGTACTACATATACCTGCAAAATGGATGAAAACTCAAGTAATTTACAGTCTGTACAACATGACATGCGTAAGGGTGCTGGGTGGTTAGCTGCACAAACAGACATGGAAACAAGCCAGACCTGTCATTTTATCACATTTGGACGAGGACAGAAGACGGATGGATGGAAAGCAGCCATCAACTGTAAGGACTGGCAGCCCTCAGTGAATTTATGGATTTGCAATAAACCCTTTTTACAAATTAAGAAGATTAACGTTCATATATTGCATAATAGTGGTTGACAATAATTCGATATCGATGTCAGGGTAGAAAATGTTTTGATAACCGTGATATGACTTTTAAAGTAATTTGATCAATAGATGTCACACCAGTGCTCAGCACTATGACTTTACACTACCTGCAGCACAATGCCATAATGTGAGTGAACAAGCATCCACAGTTAAAAAAGTAGCTGACAAAATAGTCAATATGAAAGCAACAACTAAATTCAGTGGCATAGACTTGGTTCGGGTTTTGAAGGTTCGACAAACTTCAGCTTTAAGCCTGCTGTTAAATGTGCTGGAGAGTGGTTCCGACGATCAGCATCTATTCTACCATCTGAAAAAGTTCCACTTGATAGAACTTTCTGAGTGTATGAAAATAAAGCACATTAAAAGTTTAAGGCCTGCACTGAAAATAACCATGAAAATTCTGGCAAAAACAACTTGGGGAAACAATCGCAGTTGCTCGCTTCGATACTCCCCTCCCTCACTTCCAACGTCCATCATGGCACCTCCATTGATTAGGTGACGTAGTTGCAAACAGTCAGATGCATTTTTGCTGATGAACATGGCAGACTTACACAGACATAAAGATGAAACGAGCACTGTTGTGCACTTCTTTGTGCTCTATGATGAATGAATGTATTTTTGTGTCGTTAAACAGATTGGTAGTCACAAGTTTAATTGACTCAAATCAGAAAAGCCAGCAGGACAAAGAAAAAAAATACCTTTTATGAATACCGGTGCAAAGAAAACCCAGTCTTGTTTTATTCCTATTTATCTAGACCATTTGTCTTGGAAAAAAAATTGGCAGCTTAAAAATCCATAAATTGTGCAAAAAAAACCCCTCTCTATTCCCATGCAGGGGCTGGGCCACAACATCACAATGGCAGATCCTCCCTAGCTGAATAACATTGGAAATGCCGGCAACACACACCATCATTTTCTCTCTAATCGGTTGGTTATGGGTTGTTATTTTTCAGCCAGAAGGGGCACCATTGACCATATTGAAAACACTGACAAACATTACAATGGTTTCCCATGAGGTCTTGTGTTGAAGCTCAGCATCGTTTGAGGCTGCAGGTAGGAGGTAAACAGGGTGATTGACCAATCAAGCTCAAGGCGTTTTGCCTGATCTCCAGCGAGTTTGTGGCTCTGTTGGTGACCTTCGTCTTTTGGTGATCTTTGCTTTTAATTTGTCAACTCTACAAAAAAAATGCTGTAAATATGTATATAATAATAATCACAATGCCCCAAAGAGATACATACATGGTTGGAGCTTTGGGTTTGTGGTGTGTTTTATCACATTAGCACTTATCTGCATCCTGGCAAGGTAAGGCCCAGAGGCCTAAACAAATCTGTGTGGACTTCTTTAGACCTTCCCTCCTTCCCCTCATGAATCTTCCAGCTCTTCATCCACCACCCACTGCTGTCTGTCCAGCATCCCTTCCACCAGTCCCCCCACTGCGGGTGTTTTCCTTCCTCCACCGTGATGTGTTTCCTGCTTGCCCCTTATCGCTGCTCACAACGCTTCATGAAACAGACAAGCACACAGACACGCTGTCAACTGGCCCACAACCTTCTGTTCATCAAAGGCAGCACTAGATGTGTGAAAATAGCATGAGAACATATGAGAATATGTTAATTGTGTTTTTACACGTAGGCTTCTAACGTTTATGCGACATCTAAAATTATCTTAAAATTGTTGGTTACAGTCCCCTTTTCTATTAAGATGCAAACTTTTGTGTTTTATATTTACATCTGTATTGTATAAAATGCATTTTTTTCAAGTTGAAACATTTTTTTTTGAACATAAAAAAGTACTAGGGGTGCAACGATACAGAAAATTCACGATTCGGTTCAGTACTTTAGTCTCACGGTTCGATATTTTTTTCGATACAACAAAAGAGAAATGTCCATGCCCTTTTTAACTTGTAATTTATTAAAATTAATAATGAACATTTGTTTAACCTCAAAATACAGTTTTCAAACTAAATGTTGCTGAAACAGCAAGTTTCTCAGTGGATCTGTGCTCAGAAATGCAGCCTAGGTGGAGTAGTCGAACACAGATCCACTGATCCTTTAACACAGAGCATCTTCAGAAGACAAGTCGATACAATAAATTTTAAAATCTGTATTGTTCGATACAAGTTTGTATTGAACCTAAAGCACTGTATTGAACGGTTCGATACAGGTACATGTATTGTTGCACCACTAAAAAGTACTTGATGAAACTGTCGACAAAGTAGGAGGGAAAAAACAAGCCAGAAACATGGGAAAATGTTTTCAGATTAGATCATTGGATTGATTGTGTTAACAGCAAATACTTGCCTTATGAACCTAATTTAATAGAAAACATAACATAATAAAAGAACACAAAACAAAGGTTAATCTTTTAAGCACCTCTATGATGCTTTTGTTTTGGGCAAACAACAGTTTTTCTAAATACTTCTGATTTAAGAAAAGAAATTGATGACAGCCATTTCACACAAAGCTTTTTATTTCATTTCTTTTGGCATTCAAAAATGTATGCCTAAAGCCATAATTTACACTACTTGAACAGTGAAGCTTTGGTGTGCATCTGTCCATCTACATGGACCTCTGTTATCCATCATCTATCCCACGCTTGCGAGCCTCCTCCAGCTCCTGCCTCCTCCTGCACCTCTCAACACAATTACTCACCGCGTGACAAACGACAGGCTTTCTCTGCCGAGATATCAAAACGCCCCGGCCACTCCTAAATGAAGGGACTTTGGCAGCCCTGTGCTCCCTTTGCTTATCGGCGGGCGAGCAGCGCCCCTGGCCGTCCGGCTCTCTCTCCTCCCCCCTTCTCCACCACCCCTGCTCTTATGCCCTCCTCAGGGGGTTTAGTTAGGGGAGCCACATGGAGGGCCAGCCCAGCTTGATTTATCTCCCTTGCCCCGCTGCCCAGCCACTCAGGCAGGCCGAAAGAGCCGACGAGGCTCCAACGGGCCTCGGCTCGAAAGCCCGGCATTAGCTGAAATAAACCATTCTGCCGCCCAGTGAAAAATGTCTTCTGATTGGCTAATTAATCAGTCAAAGGGGAGCGATGCGGCTTGTGGCTTGAGGGACCCAAGTGGGCGACCGCAGAGGGCCTGCTGATAAATAGACTCCCCGCCGATTCATACATCAACAAAAGTTAGTCATTTTTTAAAGCCGCCAGCCCAGTTGAAAGGTGGAAACGAGCAGTAGTTTTATTTTTCCACCTAGGTTCCCTTTTCTTTTAGCAGGGAAGGTCATTGAGAAATAAAATGTATTTTTGGTTTTGCATTTACCTTTAAATTTAAATTGTTTTTAAATGATAGTTTAGATTTATCAGCGTAATAAGAAAAAAAGTAACTAAAAAATAAAACTGGATAATTTATTTTGTCAAGTTTTTAAGACTACTTTTTTCCCCTGTATGACTTGCTTGACTTTACAACTTTGACCTTTTTAAAAAGTGCAACCAACCAATGTTTGTGACCACCACA